ATCGAAAGTCGTCTAGAGGACAAGAATTTTAGATCCTTCTTAACAAAAGACTATAACAGCTCGTAGACGTTAATAACAACTTGTAAACAGTTAATAATAATTAGTAAACATCAAGTAAACAGATACTAAACATATATAAACCAGATACTAAACAGCTAGTAAACAACTTGTATACATCTACTAAACAACTTGTATACATCTACTAAACATATAGAAACCAGATACTAAACAGCTAGTAAATAACTTGTATACATCTAGTAAACAACTTGTATACATCTACTAAACATATAGAAACCAGATACTAAACAACTTGTATACATCTACTAAACATATAGTAACCAGCTAATAAAAACTAGTAAGCAACTAATAGACATCTACCAAGCAGATTGTAACCATCTAATAATAGCTCATAACAGTTAACAACAGCTAGTAATCAAAGTCCAAACAGCTCAACCGCCGTTATGAATCACGAAAACCAGATGAGTATTATAATTAAAGAGTTTATTAAACTTATTCAGAATCTTAGACAATGATGCCTTACTCATGCAAATAGTATACAAATAGAATAGAATTAGAAAACTAGAACTAGAAAAATAGTTGACAACAAAAACCGATATTACCAGGTCCCAACACCTCTATCATAAACGTGAATCAGAAATTAAATTGAAAGACGCTCCTATGCTAGCTAATGACGCTTTCGAAATATGTTATAATATTATTATGGGTTAGAACAAATGAACGCTTTAAAAATAATCCAACATCTGAGAAAGATTACATTGTGAAAACTATTTTACATCTATCTATGGGAACAAGCGAAAATGTGCGTTTGGAACGAAGATTAATAACCGACATGTTTCTTACAGAGGGATGGAGTAAGAAAATTAATTATATACAAATATACATAAAATATAATTAATTATGAATTTAATGAAATATGTTTACAATAATAAAATATATAAAAAAATATTGAATGATCCTACAAATTTTGTTTCTGACTGTAATTAAAACTACAAGTACAAATGAAGGGGAAGTATTTTATTCAATTTCCTTGGGTCTTGGGCATGTGACTTTGATGACGGTCAGGTAATGATAGTTCACTGCAAGTGTGTTTGGCTAACACATCTTAGAAACTTTAACTTGTGTACTTTGATAATTCTTAATAAGAGACTATAGCAACTCATAATACTTGTTAACATTTAGTTACCATCTAAAACCAAGTACTTTACAGATACTATACAGATAGTAACCATCCAAAACCAAGTACTGTACAGGTACTATTCAAAAAGTAACCATCCAAAACAAGACTAAACGGAAAGTAACCATCAAAAAATTCTAGGTAACAACTAAATACAACGTGTCCAACGTGTCAAGTCCATGTCGGTATGACTACTACCCTAAAAAATTTAATATCTCTTGATAATCTTCAAAGTTAATATCTATTAAATTTAATAACAGCTAGTAACCAGCAAACAACTAGTATTGTATTGTATTACTAAACAGATAGTAACCATCTAATAACAGCTAGTGACCAGATAAGAACAACCACTAAGCAACTAGCAACAACATCTACTAAACAGATAGTAACCAGCTAATGACAACTAGCAAAGAACTAATTTACCTAACTCATTATCCTTTTTTTAAGAATATGCTTTGAATACTCAAATACTAACACCCATCCTTGACTTATTAAGCCCGTTCAGTTTTTTTTTGGTTTCTGAAAGTTCTGGGGGTGGTAAAAATGGATGTTTTGAAAATGTTCCAACATCTGAGAAACAATAACTTGTGAAATTTACTTAACATTTTTTTATGGGAGACATGCGGAAATCTGCGTTTGCAGCGAAGGATAATAACCGGTATATTATTTTATTTCTTGGACAAGTTGGTAAGAGTTCTCCACCAGAGTTATATATTATGAATCATGTTCAAAATAATAAATAAATGATAAAATATTACAACAAACTACAAAAAACAAACTACTTTAATTGTAATTAAAAATACAAGTACGGAGAATGGAAAATATTTTCTTGATCGGCTACTTGAGATTCTACACAGTCCTGATTTCATCCCTTATCAATGGTCTTGAGATGTATACTCTTATCAGTGATCCAGCGACTTGGGGCTCGGGTATGTGACTTTTATGACGGTCAGGTAATTAAAGGTCACGGCAAGTCAGTCGAGTACCTCGACTATCAGATACCCGTTACTCGGTTAAAGGGAACTAAGGGAAGTAGAGATATGCAAGCAGCAAAGCGAGATTGAAATGCACCACCCACCCGCTATCTCAATATATGGTGATATGGGCGATAGACAGATTTAAGCGTTATAGGCGTTAGAGTGGACGTGGCAAACTTTTTGTTTGGATCAATCGTTAGGTACTGACAAGACTAATACATTTCAGTTACAATTTTGTATCTATCATAGAAATTGTGACCGCCACAGGTTTGCGCGGTTTGTGGGCGTTAGAGTGGGCGTGGCATATTCGCGTAACAAACTTGCGCTACGTACAAGGCTACGAAATCGAAATCTTAAATCCCAATTCTCTACCTTTGAAAGTCTCCGAGACATTCCCTTTCATATTTACGATTTTTTCAAGTTTTGGGGGGTTTGTAGGCGTTAAAGTGGGCGTGAAAAACTTTTTCTTTCGGATAAATGTATGGGTATTGATGAGAACAATACATTTCAGTTAAAATTTGTATTCTATCATCAAAACTGTAGGGCGGTTTGTGGGCGTTAGAGTGGGCGTGGCACCCTGCTGAAACAATTTATATGAATTATAAACACATAAAAATATATAATATATGTATATTTAATTATATATAATAAAAAATGTTCGCAATACCAAAATAAATGTATAAACGTATTATTATGCTACAAAATAAACTTCTGACTTTTTATTTCGAGTTAAAATTACAGTTACGGAGAATGGAAAATATATTCTTGACTGAGGGATGCCGGCTAGTTGCGAGTTGTTGTACGGTGGTATTTCTACCCCTATTACTGCATGTGTTTGAGCTATCAGTCAGGTAGAGGTTGTTGGCTTGTGCATGTGTCCCATTTATTGCGGTTTTTTGCGGTCAGGTAATGGACAGATTCTTGATTGAATTCCTTTTATGAAAGACAATTTCAGTTTACCAGTTACACGTTCTGGGGCGGACAGAAAAATGTGTTTTTGAAAATATTCCACATCTGAGAAGCATTAACTTGTGAGATTTATTTTGTTGGTGTTCTTTTGATTTCTAAATTAGTTTTACAATCATAGGAAACATTGTTTCCCAACATGATCGTACATTTTCCTCTAAGATATCACTCTTTGGATATTTTGGATACTACCTTTCTCACGTGCACAGCAAGCAGGTGTTGCTATTAATGCTATTGCTATTAATTGCTCATAATGAGGGAAAGGATACATGATCAATAGTGTCACATGGGGATGTGGGCATAGAGTGCGACCTTTCTCACGTATACAACAATACCTGTTGAATATTAATTGCTCATAATAAGGAAAGAGGTCACGTGATTAGTATTGTCACATGGGGGTGTGTGCAATTAAGCATACTCTTTATGGACACGATAGTCACATTTTTAGGACATCGAAATATATAAAAATCAGTTAATCTATGGATTATGCTAATTGTTCTAGAACCCGCATACGTTAATGAGGGGGCAGGGGCCATTAATATGCTAACTATTTAGGGGCGAGGGCCATTCATATGCTAATTAGTAACGGGGCGGGGGTCATTAATATTCTAACTGTGCCAAAATCAGTATTTTCATACACCTTTGGTAATAGCATTAGGTTCTCCAGTCAGCTGATTAGTAATACAACCAATAATATTGAATATTCGCGCGAAAACAAGAACAAGAGGCACAAGAGGGAAGGTTAATTTTTACAGAATTTGTAGTTAAATATTAAACTTTCTAAGAAAAACAAGGAAGAACGCTATAGGAGAGTACCTCGACTATCGGATACCCGTTACTCAGCTAAAGGCACCAAAGGGAAATGGAAATATGCAAGCATCAAAGCGAGATTGAAATGCGCCACCTACCTGAGATCTCAATATATGGTTATTTGGGCGGCAGACAGACTTAAGCGTTATGCGCGTAAGAGTGGACGTGGCACATTGCTGAAACAAACTTGCGCTGCGCAGGAATCTTAGGAATCTGCATGCCTAGTCCCAGTATTGTAGCTCCTATAGTTTCCGAGATCTCAGCGTTCATACGGACAGACGAACAGACGGTCAGAAGGACGGGCTAGATCGACTCGGCTAGTGATCCTGATCAAGAATATATATACTTTATGGGGTCGGAAACGCTTCCTACTACCTGTTGCATAATTTCCGACGAATCTAGTTACCCTTTTTGTCTGGAAATATCCAAAACAACATGACGTTTTTGACATGACATTAAAAAAAAAAATATATATATATAAATACTTGCTTTTTGCAATATGCTAAGAATTGGTTAATCTTATAGTTTCCTTCTATACATATACAATAAGAATCTTAACGGCTTCTGTTCTAGTAACGAATTTTTTTATTGGCTAAAATTCTATCTTGAATCGTTAACTTAGAAATTCTGTAGTGGGATAACTAATCCAAAAAAATTAAAAATTAAAATTTTTTAAAGCTCTGGGCTATAAAGGGTTTGTTGCAAAAAAAAAGCTAGTTTAGGCTGTAAAAACGTATTCAAATAGGAAATTATAAAAATAAGCGCCTCAATTATCAGATACCCTTTACATTGTTAACATAAGTTGCAACGCTTATAGCTCCCAAATGATTGCTTCGAACGGTTTTCGAACCCCTTAAACTTTTATTAAAGTTGTATTAAACAGTTGTCCAATTTAGTATTTTTAAAACGCAAGATAATAGAGATAATTTTAAAATTACTGTGTTAAGTTTATTTATTTAATAAAGGTTTAAATGCCTTGAACAAGCCACAATCAAAGGTAGGGACCACCTAGCTATTTAGACAACACAAATATATTCAAATTTTTACATTACCTTCGAGATAAACTCTCTCCTGGCGAAATGATTGTGACTTGTGGATCATTCACCTGGCATGCCAACCGTACCAAAAAATTTAAAACCGTATCGCAGTAGGATTTATCTATAGAGCGGAAAACGTCATCAGCCTTAGCATATGGTCCCACACCTGTAATAATGAAAAGTAATAATGTAGATCTGTTTATTTTTTTTAAATGTATAAAGCTGAAATCCGTAACACCAAACAAATAAATAACACGTTAATAATAATATTAACACTTTAATAAAAAAAAATTTTATAGTGTGAAAGGAAGCTGTAGCAGAGTGCATCAGGTGCATCCTAAAATGACTGATTTCACCTAAAACAAGACAGACCGCTTTACTGGAGTGCCAACAAGCTTAAAAACAATAAAAAAGGCTATAGGCCTGGACTATCAGATTTACGTTCCCCAGGTAAAGAGAGTGCGAGAGGGATGAAGATGTTTGCTTTTAGCTAGCGCCACCAAGATTATAACACCAACTATCTTATAGCGCCACCTAGCGCCACCAAGACTATAACACCAACTTTCTTATAGCGCACCTAGCGGCTTGGGGGCGTATTACTGAAAACAGCTGATTTGCTGCGCAACCTTGGATTGCAAAATATTACTTTTTAGTTGGGTATCACCTTTTATAAATGGTCTGATATTAATCATTTTTGGCGTGTAGGTAGGTATTGATAAGAAGAACAAACTTTCATTTACGTTTCCACAAAATTGTATTTTATTAAAAAATGTGGGCGCTGGACAGGTTTTAGTGTTATAGTCAATTGTGGGCGTTACAGTAGGCGTGGACCCTGCCGAAACAAACTTGCGCTGCGCATGAAGTTCAAGAATCTGCATGCCAAGTCCCAACATTCTAGCTTTTAAAGTTTCCGAGATCTCAGCGTTGATAGACGGACATGGCTAGATCGACTCGGCTAGTGATCCTGATCAAGAATATATATACTTTATGGGGTCAAAAACTCTTCCTTCTACCTGTTACATAATTTTCGACGAATCTTACCCTTTTACTCTACGAGTAACGGGTATAAAAATGGAACGAATCTCTGGAATTTTCTACCTTGCTATCTTGGTCATCTTCCTTGCAAATGGTGGAACGTCATTGTCAGTACAGGACAGGACTTATAGGTGCGCTCAATTTCGTGACATGAACACTATGCAGCGGTACGAAACCACCAAACGGCTCTTGCTATGTCTGAATTGCTTAAACGTAGGTCATTGGGCAACCAATTGCCCTAACACCCAGAAATGTCCCAATTGCTACAAAGCTCATCACACCATGCTCCTTAGGGAAAGCAGCACCCCTCACACACCAATACTACAACGGGGCGCTCGCTCATGCTCACATCAATCAAGTGACTGATCAAATTTTGTTGTCCAAAGCCAACACCTTGGTAAAGGATAACTTTGGAAATATCACACTTGGTTGCGCACACCTCGACTTGTGCTCTCAGGTAAATTTCATTTCAGAGAAGATTTTTTAAAACTCTTCGATTACCTAAAAAGAAGCGTCAAATAGATACACTTCGGTCAAATCCCGCTTTAAAGGCACTGAGATATCTGTCGATTGCTACGTCACATCGCATACCATTTGAACTCGGATAATGATGTTTCATCTTGGAATATCCCTCAGAATATCTCGATAGCACGGGATGCCTTAATGCAGTCCCGTCGAATAGACCTGTTCATTTGAACAGAGATCTTCTTTGAAGAACTATCAGTTGGACAAATCAAACTAGGAGGATAATAAATCAAAATCAACTAAGGGACAGGATGCCAACGCTACAGAAAACTGAATTTGGATGGATAATTACTGGTCGCGCTAGAAGCCCAGGAAGGGGAGCAGACGGCAGATTACTGATCAACTTATCATTTAAGGAATAACGCTGCCTTTTTTGATCATCAATCGAACGCGCTCGGACTAGCTTTCTGTCCTTGGAACAACGACTAAACAAAGATATAGAGCTAATAACTCAATCGATTCGCAGCTCGTATTGCATTGGATCAAACAGCATTAAGCAATGATATCGGCATTCGTCGGCAATCGGATAGCAGAAATTCAAGACCTTACCCCGGACTGCGTGTGGAGACTCGTTCCAACTCGTCTCAACCCTGCGAAATTGGCATCAAGAGGATGCTCATTGTAGGAGCTTAGAAAATAATTACAGTGTGGAAGACCGTTTTACTTATTGCAGCCCGGGAAGGATCGCGAAATACTGGACATGGACGTTATTAAGGTGGAAAACGAAAATCTGCCGATATGGTCATTCAAGGACCAGAAAGGAATTATCTACTTGAGAGACTTCGACAGATCAGCTCCTACAGGAAATGTTTGCGTACAGCTGGAACTCTCAACAATTACCGAAGGGCGACTCGTTTGTCATAAACTACTTTCGGGACGTTCACCTGCAGAACTTTCACGCTGGACCCAACGCATTAGTGGAAATAACGCACGGGACGTGGCCAGATGTATAGACAGTAACTGCTTACATTGTGTGCGTTATCGGCCCAAACTCTTCCAACAGGTCATGAGAAATTTGCCTGTCGAACAAATCCCTCCTTCCCGACTATTTTCTCGCAGTGGAATCGATTTTTGTGGCCCGATCTCAACTTACTTACGCATTCGAGGACCCTATTTATCTCGCCAAATTCGTGTACTTCGCCACAATGACAGTACACATCGAGGTGGTAAGGGATTTGTGAATAGTTACAATCTTCGGAGCATTGAAGCGCATGATATCGAGGCAATGCCTACCAACTAATATATTTTGCGACAAGTGTAGCATCAAACTGGTGGAACTAAAGGAATTCTTATTCGACGACAAAGTCAAAGCAACGATAATCTAATATTGTACTAATAAATTTATAAACTTTCATTTTATCCCCCCCAGGGCACCTCAGTTTGGCGGCCTATGGAAGGCCGCGGTAAGAGCGTCAAGGACCTCCTGTACCGAACCATGTTTGATGCGCGCCTCACGTACGAGGACCTTACCACGGTTACAGAAGAAACCGAAGCGATTCTGAAATCACGACCATTGTCGCCAATGTCGTCGGACCCAAACGACCTCGCAGTCATCATCCCTGGTCACTTCTTAACAGGAGACTGTTGGATGTGGTGATGTTGATAAACGAACCTCGAAGGATACCATTTGACGACCAATCCACAAACAGGCTCCACTACCTATTTCTTGAAAGTCACCGAAAAGCATTCGATGGGTCCGGGATGTTGGGTCCGATTCACATTGCTTTGTTGGTAGAACCGAAACAGCTGCATTTTGTAAGACCTTTATGAATTGTTAGTACCTAAGCTTACATTGTTATGAGCGAAAGCTCCGAGTTAAACCTTTACATTACTGCTCTATGTTACTCTCTGATCACTGTAAATAGTTCTCTCACATTCCCTCGGAGTTACATAAAAGGGGGTAGTCAGGTACTTTTCGCCTTTCGCAAATTATTTTTTTTCAGAAAAGTTTTTATTTTACGTTTAAGATTTTATACAGGTTTATTATACTTGTAAAAACGATGAAAAAAATATTTTTCTATTTTATGCCGGTTGCTTCCGGCGGAGATATAGTTGATTCAAGATGATATTGCAAAATCTGGGCGCTACGATGTCTCCAGTTGTCTGAATCACACAAACCACTTTTTTTTATAAATCACCTGTGAATGTCTATCGCCCCTACCACCATCCTAAAAAAGTATTTTTAAATAAACAAACAGCGCCGGTCTATATTTTTTCTTCATTTTCCCCCTGATTTTTAACAATTTTTGTTATATAACATTGTTAAATATCAATGGACAATGACGATCGAGGTAGAGGCGAAATCTATGTCTTTTGTGAACATTTTAAATCGGCTCAGTAGATCAGTTGCAATCATGGCGCCCTTTTTCAAAAATACTGTTCGAGAAAAGTGCCAAGTGCGCGTACCCTCTGCGGCTGATTTTATTTTTCGACAACTTCCTTGTTTCAAAGGGTTAGTGTCCGAAAATGCAAAAAAAAACAAGGAAGAAAGCTATAGTCGAGTACCTCGACTATCAGATACCCGTTACTCAGCTAAATGGAGATATGCAAGCAGCAAAGCGAGATTAAAATGCGCCACCTACCGGCGGTATACAGATTTAAGCGTTATGGGCGTTAGAGTGGGCGTGGCAAATTTTTTTTTGGATCAATCGATAGGTATCGACGAGACCAATACATTTCAGTTAAAATTTTGTATCTAGCATGAAAATTGTGGGCGTCACAGGTTTTTGCGGTTTGTGGGCGTTAAAGTGGGCGTGGCAAACTTTTTTTTGAGTCAATCGATAGGTGTTGATGAGAACAATACATTTCAGCTAAAATTATTATTCTAGCATCAAAACTGTAGGAGCCACAGTTTTGGGCGGTTTGTGGGCGTTGGAGTGGGCGTGGCACATTGCTGAAACAAACTTGCGCTGCGTAAGAAGCTCAGGAACCTGCACGCCAAATCTCAATAGCCTAGCTCCCATAGTTTCCGAGATCTCAGCGTTCATCCGGACGGACAGACAGACGGACAGACAGACGGACAGACAGACGGACAGACAGACGGACAGACGGACAGACGGACAGACGGACATGGCTAGATCGACTCGGCTAGTGATCCTGATCAAGAATATATATACTTTGTGGGGTCGGAAACGCTTCCTTCTGCCTGTTACATACTTTCCGACGAATCTAGTATACCCTTTTACTCTACGAGTAACGGGTATAAAAATCTAAACAAGGAAGAACGCTATAGTCGAGTACCTCGACTATCAGATACCCGTTACTCAAAGGGAAATGGAGATATGCAAGCAGCAAAGCGAGATTAAAATGCGCTACCTACCGCCGGTAGACAGATTTAAGCGTTATGGGCGTTAGAGTGGGCGTGGCAAATTTATTTTTGGATCAATCGATAGGTATTGACGACAGCAATACATTTCAGTTAAAATTTTTTATCTAGAGTGCAAATTGTGGGCGTCACAGGCTTTCGCGGTTTGTGGGCGTTTAAGTGGGCGTGGCAAACTTTTTTTTAGATCAATCGATAGGCATTGATGAAAACAATACATTTCAATTAAAATTTTCTATCTAGCATCAAAACTGTAGGAGTTAAAGTTTTGGGCGGTTTGTGAACGTTAGAGTGGGCGTGGCAGTCTACTGAAACAAACTTGCGCTGCGTAAGAAGCTCAGGAATCTGCTCGCCAAATCTCAACAGCGTAGCTCTCATAGTTTCCGAGATCTCAGCGTTCATCCGGACAGACAGACGGACAAACGGACAGACGGACATGGCTAGATCGACTCGGCTAGTGATCCTGATCAAGAATATATATACTTTGTGGGGTCGGAAACGCTTCCTTCTGCCTGTTACATACTTTCCGACGAATCAAGTATACCCTTTTACTTTACCCTTAAATTTAACTGAAATGTATTGGTCTCGTCAATACCTATCGATTGATCCAAAAAAAATTTTGCCACGCCCACTCTAACGCCCATAACGCTAGAATCAGTCTACCGCCGGTAGGTGGCGTATTTAAATCTCGATTTGCATATCTCCATTTCCCTTTGGTCCCTTTAGCTGAGTAACGGGTATCTGATAGTCGAGGTACTCGACTATAGCGTTCTTCCTTGTTATAGCTGCAAGGGTATGCAAACTTTGGCTTGCCGAAGCTAACTTCCTTTCTTTTTTTTATGAGTTTTGGATGAGTTATGCGTGAAGGCGATCATTCTTAAGTTAGCTAAAACTTGTACAATGTTTTGTAGTTTAAAAAAAAACTTAATTTTTTTTTACTTTCCTTGCAATGCTGATTCCCGTATGTTATCAAATGACTTCTTTCGATTTTCTACGGAATCGATTCCTGGACGCTTTATTGAGCTTTCATGCATTAGTTCATCTTCAGTCGAATCAACTTTAGTTTCTCGATCATCCTCCTTAATTCGATGAAGCTCCCACTTTATAATAACTTCTGCTAAGTCCACAGCTAGTTTCTTATGTTCAATGGATGCTGTAGGAGGAAATCCGAGGCGCTGCATATAATTAATCAAGTGTTGCACTAGTTGGTGTCTCACAGGAAAATACACCTAAAATGTAAGTCACATAATAAACAATAAGTTGAAGGAAAATTAATTTTATTCTTACTTTATAATGACGAATTATAAGTTGTAAAATATGGAATAACTGCTGCATTGCATGTCCTTCTTCAACGATAATTTTTTTGGTCCAGTGCGTTAGCATAGTGTTCCCGTCTTCCATTCGCAATGGCATAGCTGGTGTTAGTACATCAAGTGCTTGCTTAACAATAGATCTGGCCTCTAACGCATGTCCTTTCAGCAAAGAATGAAATACTTGTAAGACTATTTTCTTATGAATGGCTAATCTGGCGATTATATGAGCAAGCAATAAGTGACCATGATATCGTGCAGTAGGATCCACTGAATTCTTGCTGAGTAAACAAGGCCATGCAAAGGTCATAAGACGCCTCAACTTATTTCCTTGGCGTTTATTATTTGCATCCCCATCATGTATGTGCTGAGATGCACGTTCTACCAATAAGCATGCTAGCTGAAGCAGAGCAATTCTCACAGCATCATCATATTGTTTATCTGGGTCAAAAACTTTATTAATAAATACGGAAACAATATTTTTTTCGTCTTCTTGATAAGGGGTCGGTGGTGCTCCAATTAGTTTATTTCCTTCGCCTTTATCAAAGCTTACAGTAAAACATGGAATAATTACAGCGGTAATAATTTTGGCTTTTAACTCTTCCGAAATTATATTATTATTAAAATTTTCAACAAAGTAAAAAAAGGCATTTCGTTTCCAATTCACAGTAAAGCTTTGAGCAACTGTATTTTGCAAAAAGTCTCGTAAGAAAAAGACATCCGGTATAAATCGAAAGCATAATGCCCTTAATAATTGAAAGAGCAGTTCAATGTCGTTCGTATTGTTTGAAAAATAAAGCAAAAGTATTTTTCCAATTAAATGCCATAAGTCACAAGCTACGTCTTCAAAGCAAGTGGAACTCAAATCATTCTGCCAACAACTTTTAAGGGTGTCGACAATATCCTGCCGTGTCGGAATCCATTGATCGTCTAATTCCATTATTGTAAATATTATTAAAACGGCTTGGTGCTGAATCTCGTACTTATGCTTTTGAGGAAATTCTGTGCAGACGTTTAAGTAAATTAATAATTTATTGTATTTACTGCTTTTTATAACTGAACGAAATGTTGATCCCTTTTGATGTTTCAAAATATATATAAAAAACCGATTCCATTGAGAATCAATCATAGTAGATTCAGTCAAAAATAAATCCACAGTTTCGTCTGGGAAGCGTTGAAGAAACTTCAGAAGAGCTTCCCGATATGGGCTAGATGCCTCAATCATCAAGTTCTTTTCAGTTTTTAAGACAAGCTGGCACAATTTTTCAATATATTTTACTGAGGCCGAGATATGGAAAAACATTTCAATTAATATGACAATTTTCTGTTCATACTCTCCACCTTTCGATGATGCAAAGAAATTAATATTTGCATTTGTGCACTTGTAGTCACCAACAAATATTTCAATAATTTTTGAGCAATGTTGCAATATTTGCTCACTTAATTTCTCATTAAACATATGTGGAAATAACTGAGTAAAATAAGATAAACGTTTTATTGCTGGTATAGATAAATTCCTGTGATCACCCAATTTTAAGAGCAGTGGACGCATTGCAGATTGTACCTGAAAATATTAACACGGTAGAAATATTATTAATATTTTTGGATAGGCATGACATGAAAAGAGGAGTAGTCTAATACTTCTGAAGAAAAAAGGATTCTTATTTTACAAGAGGCTATTAACTTTTGTTGCGAAATCGATTACTTAGCATTTAAAGAGTTTAATAACTCCTGTACTTTCTGGCTAATTGGGTTAGTTGAATGGAGTGGACTTTAACATAACTTCTCCCCATTAGAAAATAATTCTTCTGAATTCTAATATTTGAATTTAATTCTGGATTTTTCATTTGTTGTGTCTTATTATCCAAGAACACAACAAAGAAGACAAACTAATTTTAAAAAAGTTTCACAACACTGCCTAAGAATATAACATGAACCTCCTTAAGTTGGTCAATACTAAAATTAAGAATTCAGGTGCCATTCTGTTATCGACCTAACAATGAAGAACTATGACAAATAAAATGTAACTTACTTTACCATTGATTTGACAAAATGTGACTTGTTTGGTTCGTTTGGACGGTAACTTTAAAGTGGCGCACGTCTCGATTAGTGTTCGGATTTTTTTCACAAACGCTTTACAGTCACTAAATGCTTTGAAAATTCCAAATTCCGAAATTTGCTGGGTTGTAGCTCACAATATACTTAATGTAGCTTAATCATATGTTCGGCCAAATTAAAGGGTAACATTAAAGTTGTATATTAACACATATATCACCTATGTTCGTTAAGCGCAGCTCGAGATATAATTAAAGCACGGAGATACAAAACAAAATATTTTTGACTTCTTTTTCGTTATCTCCCAGGGACATTCTTCTTGGGACATTTTGGATGTACGCTAGTGATATTTAAACTTTGTAGTTTTCTATGTTTTTGACTAATATATCATTGAGGACCTGTTCCTGAAATTCGAAGGGCCTTAGGTCAAAATGTGTTTTACACCAAATCATACTATAATATTGGTTGCTATAATATCCAAACGCGAGCTAAGCCAGAGGAACGACAAATGGAGTCTGACTCGTTTCGACGAGATTTTAAAATCCAACCTGCACCGGAAAGAAAAAAAAAAAAAGTTTTTATGGTTTTTTTTAAAAGTTGTAATCCTTCAAAATTAAAAGAATAGAGGCTTATAAAATATATTCACCGTGGAATGTGCCTCTTGGTAAAATCACAAAAAACTACAAAACCTTTATCTCTATGGTGGTGTGGGAATGATTTAAGTTTTGTTAAGGTAGCATAGATAAACACAAGACAAAGTATGGGATATATCCCATAGTATACATAAATATCTCAGTAAATTTTAGTAAAAATCGGTCGCATGTATACGGTTTATACGGTTTTTGTAACATACCTTAGTTTTGGATAAGTTAACCGAGTAGCTTTTTCACTTTATTTTGGCCTCTGTGTCTGCCTATCTCTCTTACTCGCTTGAAGCGCTCTAAAAGAGCGACGCTCTTCTTTGCAAAAAAGCCCGATATATCGTTGTCATCGATGCCCTTGTTGGGTTTTCCTGAGATGGTGTTTATACTTATGCTTGGCCAGTGGGCACACTAAAGGTTATAAATAACAATTTTAAGGCGGTAAAGTGGTGCACGTTTCGATTCTTGGTCGGTTTTTTTTAGTTTTTGCGATATCAACAGACGCCTTTACAATCACTAGGTTGTTAACGAATTACACATTTTCAAAGTTTGCCGAGTTGTAGCTCACAATACACTTAATGTAGCCTTATCACTGTGGACGGCAGTCCACGTAGTGACGAAGCGCACCAGGAGGGTGTGCGAAAGCGACTACTATACTATATACACGAAGAAATGAAAATCTACTGTAATCGTCCGATTGTTTCAAGTAATACATCAATCGAGAGGTAAAAAACTAAGGATTGCATACCAAGACTTTAAAGAAATCAATTGGTTTGGGAGAAAGAGCGGTGAAAGTGTAAATGTGAAAATTTAGAAAATTTGATCTGTTGGGGCCGGTGGGAATAAACACCCCCCTCTATCAACCTACTTGTATTCTCACTTAAAATACTCGTCGAATGACACCTCAACTGTCAAAATCGGATGAAGAGGAATTGGAGGCACACGGTGTGCGGCTTGTGAATATTTGAATACATATAAATATAAAGCTTGCCTTAAATGGACACTGCCTCTTTATTTTCTTCTTTTTGTTCAAAAATTCGCCGTGATTTTTTTATTAATTTCATGACAAATTTTACTTGTTGCATTTATTTGTATACCCTTGCAGAGGGTATTATGATTTCAGTCAGAAGTTTGCAACGCAGTGAAGGAGACGTTTCCGACCCCATAAAGTATATGTTCTTGATCAGCATCACTAGACGAGACGATCTAGCCATGTCCGTCTGTCCGTCCGTTTCTACGCAAACTAGTCTCTCAGCGTTAAAGCTATCGGACTGAAACTTCCCCAAAAGCCTTCTTTCTTTTGCAGGTAGTATATACGTCGGAATCAGCTGGATCGGACAACTATATCTTATAGCTCCCATAGGAATAGTCGGAAAAAAAATTATATCTTTGGTGTTTTTTAACACATGTATAACCTCCTACGCTTGGAAATAACATTTATTTATTACTTCTGAATTTCGAATTTAATTTTATCAAAATCGGACGACTGTATCATATAGCTGCTATAGGAACGATTGGAAAATTGGGGGGAAAATAATATGAAACAAATTGTAGCTTCGGTGTTTTTTGACATATTATCTTATACTATTGGGAATATAATTTTTTGTATATCATTTGTCATATATTCGGATCTGCAACGTGGATTAGGCCTATGGGGGACACCACTGTAAAAAAACGAGTGGAACGTTACCTCAATGGTGGTTCGGTAAAGTGTTCATTGAAATTATTTGAATAAATATAAAGATACAAATTGTTGGAGTGTTATTTAATGCATTAAATGATCGTTTATAGCCGTCACTTAAATCACGCTACACCATTGTAACGTTAATCATGCGTCCTTTATAGACCGCACTCCACGTATAACATGATTATTTGGATATGCTTATTCAGTAGACAAAAAAATAATATTTTTTATTAAATGAAAAAAAATGTTACATTGTTTTTTAAAGGAACTCATTTGAAACCCTAATTAGGTTTATAAGATCTCATTTAAAAATTTAATTCATTTTATAACTACTTATTACAATATAATTACTTTGATTGAATATACATATGTGAAAAGCACCCTTGATTTTTACAGAAAAACCAGAAACATTGAAATTCAATTACAAGAGAACCATGTCCGACCGCCAAGTTCTTTTTGGACGTAAACTCTTAAGAAATTGCGGTCCATGGAGGATAATTTTTTTGCGAATTTAAGGGGTTAATCCCCTAATCTAGAGTATTACCAAGCTTGTGCTATATGTCGTTAGAAAGGTATTTTGAAATGCTTTGTACGCCTTTCTAATATGATTTGTCTAAATACCACCGTTTAACAATTACGGGCAAACATTTTTTTTATTTCGATTTTTTCAGATTCCTCAAAAACGGCTCTAGCGAATTTAAATTAGAATTTAAAGTGTATGGCCCTTGAGATTCCTTAACCTTTGACATGCGTCACATTGTAGTAAAAAGTCTCCTTTCAAAGTTATTTATCAACAAAAAAGGCCACATTTACCTCTTCAGAACATCTAACACTGCCTGCGCATTGACCTTTTTTGTGCGTGTCCAAACTCTATTTGAAGGTCCTGAAAATTTAGGATGATGTTAAACAACTTAATATGAGAATCTTTAATTTTACCAGTTTGGCAGAAAAACAGCTATGAATATATATATTTAGTACACCCGTAACTTGTAAACTATAAAAGCTACAGGCTTGTGCTATATATCGTAAAAGGAAATTTTGAAATACTGTGTACGCCTTTCGAAACGACTTTTATTCCTTATCTGGGTAAAATCTTCTGACGAAAACTAAAATGCACTCTTTTCAAATATAACTTGGACCGCAGTCCACTTTGTGACGAAGCCCACTGCATCATTGCTATGATGGTCTGACCATAACTACTGGTAAAGCAATCACAAGACATTGCAAAACTTAAAAGGATTGCATACAAAGCCTGTAACAATTTTAATTCGATTGGGAAAAAGATCGGTAAAAGTGTAAAAGTAAAATTCTGTTGCTATTCAATATGCTTGGGTTTAGCTGTACGATTTTGATAAAGCATTCGGCACGCTTTATCAAAATCGTACAGCTCCTTTTAAGTAAAAACAATAAGAAAGTGTATTTGTTTAGTAGATCTTATAATACATTTTCGTCACAAAAGTAGATATCAGAACTTTTGTTTGCTCTGGTGCGATCGTCACTAGATTTTTACCTCGATAGGAGGTCTTTTTGTTTGATTATTTATTCGGAAAATTAAAAGGTGACATTATAGTTGCAAACTACAATTTATGTTACATAAATCGGTAATGCGCAACTCGGGATGTAATTTAAAAAAGTCGGAAATGACTGCATTCCGCAACCCATTTTTATACAATTGCAGGGGGTATAGTGCTTTCAGTCGGAAGTTACCAACGCAGACGTTTCCGACCCCATAAAGTATATATATTCTTGATCAGCAACACTTATACGAGTCGATCTATCCATGTTCGTCTGTCCCTCTATTCAACTGTCCGTTTCTGAGCAAACTAGTCTCTCAGTTGTAAAGTTATTAAAACTGTCAAAATAATACATAGACCTTTATATTTCATTTTCGCTAAACATATGCGGTAGCTAAAATTTTCTAATTAGTTTTTAGTTTTCTAAAAATCAGGAAAACCTCAGTAAATACATGCTCGCACGGGAACGATCTGCAAGGGTATAGAAACTTCGCAGTGCCAAATCTAGCATTCTTTCTTGTTTACTTTGCCATTTATATATGTTGGATCTTCGTTTTTATACCCTTTCAGAGGGTACAATGATTTCCGCTAGAAGTTTGCATCTCAGTGAAGAAGACGTTTCTGACCCCATAAAGTGTAAACGAGTATATTCTTGAACATAATGACCAGATAAGTCGATCGAGTCATTACAGATGAAAAGTGACAAAAATTAAGTCTTGGTTTTTTTTGACGACCTGTGTTATTTGTTTAATTTTATTGGATATATATTCAAATTGATTATTCGGAGTTTTAATTTTCGCTTGACAAATAACGCTTACTTTAATAAACAAGAGAGAACGCTATAGCCGAGTGCCCCGACTATCAGATACCCGTTACTCAGCTTTTAAGCAGAAAATTGATAAAAGTTATGTTAATATGTTAAGATGACCGAGCCAAATCTGTAAAGATGGGATCGAGGAGATCGGGCAGCTTTAGTGGACCAACGAGTAGCAGATGCGTCACATTGGGATGAGGCAGAAGTCTAATCAGCTTTAGCAGCTGACTCTGCAAAACCAAAGCTAAGTTTCGGTACAGCAAGGAGTTGATCGACTCCTTCTCCTGAGACTACTACTACTACTTTGTGTCCCCTAAAATTTTTCCAGCCCAGTGGTTTAGAGGCTTAAAGTCCGCTTCCAAACCTTGTGCCAATTTAGCTTTATGAAGCATTCGTTGACGACGAGGGTAGGGTATCGCTTATAATTTTTTTTCCGATTTTGGTCTTATTTATGCATAACATTTTTGGTTCTTCATAGCTCTCTTCGGAATTATTATAGCCTCTGCACACAGTTGCTTGTGCATTTACATAGAGAATCGACATAAGCAAACCGTATCCATGTAAAACGTGTAATTGAGAGTTAACTAATAATGGAAACCAACGCAAAACTAAATATAATTTTAACGCTAGCATGTGGAAGATATGGAAGAAAAGGTAGATGGATTTGGTCGCTGAAGTCTCTGTGTGAATAGGCTATTAGCTAATAACGGGTATCTGACAGACGACGACAGTGGCTATAGAATTCACTTTTGTTTTCAGTATTCGTGTTGTCGTTAGTTATCCCCCTGGACTAGACTATGAACATTTTCTTTGATGCAGCGGAACGGGACTAATACATCCAAAATATAAAAACCTACAGCTCGATACGTAAAATTAATCTAAAGATTAAAAGATAAAATTTACAAAAGTCTTCTTCCCCTTAAATTAAGTTGAAAAGAAAAAAATTTAAAGGTGAACCCTTGCTAAAAACCACCTTAACTCCTCCTCACCATCTTTTACAGTGACGTGCTGCGGTAATCAACGAAAAAATATAAAAACACCCATTAAAAAATTCTAGATCCTTTAAAATACTTAAACTTTTATTATTTATTATTTATTATTTCAGCTACCAAGCCACCCTCCGCCCCAACAGTTCATATAGTCTGCTACTCGCCGAAAAATCGTATTCTTTGTAGTTTTCAAAGTTCACTGGCAATGCATGTACTGTGAAGCAGCTGGATTTCTTGACAAACAAACAACCAATCCATGGAGAAATTTAAAAAGAACTTCTGGTTCACTAAGAAATAAAAGTTAAAATAAATGAAATGTTCAACGAATGTTTATAATTATGTTAATTATTAGTCTAAGGCTTCCTTATCGTCACGTGGATGCTTCGCCATCTTCTCCGCGCCATCTGCAGCTCAACTTCGATTGCCGCCGATATGTCAAGATGGATCTTAAGGGAGTGGCAGCCGGATTGCGAACAGGTTTTTCCGCTGGCGCTGGTTGAAGTTGCCCAGCATCCTGGCAATGTTTGGTTATTACTCCTCCGCCTTCGCGGGCGTCCCTTTTTTCTCCTCCCTATGGAAGCGCATTTATAATTTTAAATGTGTTAGGTTGTCAAAAAAGTACTGCGGTATTTTTATTGAATTTTAAATTGTTCATAAAATAGGTTACAATAATGCGATTCAAGTCAAATATGCTCCGTTTTGTTCATAATGCTATAGAAGCTTTCTTCCCTATTGGCAAAAAACTCGGAGAGCCAATTTTCACAGGACTCTCTTATGTCCAACTTCAGACTACCAAGCGCGGTCGCCATGGACAGAAACAGGTGGTAATCACTTGGTGCGAGATGCGGCCTATACGGTGGATGCAAAAGAATCTCGCCTGCTCTTTCCTATGGTTAGCTCGCGGTATTCGTCGATGTTAGTATATATATATAAAAATTGGGACATAGAAAAGGAGGATGAATTTCAAAAACTTTAAATGCAGTTATTTGCGGGTGTGTATTAGGATTGTGAAGAGTACATTTTAAAACCAATTTAGTAACATCTATAACAGAAAAAAAAAATTTTTGTTTAACATTTTGAATTTTATTGCTCTTTGGTGATGGGTAATATTCCAATTCATGGTTAATAGGATAAAAAAACGGCAAAATTATGATTACGTAAGGGGCTGTATATAAAATTTGGTTGAGTTTTTTAAACCTGTTTTCCCTTATATAATCATTATGTTATTATGTTATAATAATACGCCTATATTCATATTTAGTAATTAAAGCATTTTAGAGTGCATTATAATAAAACGTAAAATGAATACTACGATTTAGTGTTAATTTTCATCGAAAGCATCGCTACCTATTTCCTAGCCTAGCCTTATTCCTGACATACCACCTCCTACACACACATACTTCTAAACAACGCATTTATATTAAAATGTGTGTTACACATACATTTTTAAATAATATTGAAAATATACCTTGTTTACAAAATTTGGGGCTTTGTGTAGTCGTTTCATCGCGCGAACTCTTTGGGCAATTGGTCAGTACCTGTAATGACGTCCATAGTCATCTTTTATTCTTTTACATGTACTCGTGCTGTGTAACACATTTTAACTCGTCCATCACTCTACACAGTGACTTCATGATTACCGGCTTCATCGCCACACCCATTTACTTTACCATCACCACGTCCATCAGCATACACATGGTTTCATACCGGAATTCTGAATCAACAACGATTGACAAACTTTCTTTCTTAGTCAATATCCATTCTTCTGCAATTTAAACATTTGGCCACCTTCGAAAACTTTCTTGTGAATAATTATACTTTCTGTTTCTAATCTATCTAATTTTGTCTTTCGGTTTTCTTAGCAAAACATTTAGCTTTATTTTTGTCGATCCTTAACTTCTCATCCGTAGTGGGATTTTGCCTGATCAATTTAATTTTAAATATCACTTCTAGGAGTCATTCCCAACGGATGTGTTGTTAGCCTATCAAAAGTTCAAAATGAGTCGTACCCTCAAGCTTGACTGATGAGCTACGATGACAACCAGTCGATACTGGCAAAACCCAAGAATTCAGAGGTTTAATCCCAAGTATGTGCAGTGATCTTGAACTGTGCTTAAGGTCATATGTATGTACAATGTACATATATGACTGGAATATCATCGAGGTAAATAAATAAAGGTCCTATTTTGATTTTTAATTTTTTTTTCTCAAAAATAATGATTATTTTTGGAATGTTATTAAAAAACAGTAAAAAATTAAATAAAAATCACTTACTTGTGAGTTTTGTTTTATTAAACTCAAAGTAAAAGTAAAAACGCGACTAAGGATATTGTATTAGGAATTTTAGAATGATTTAAAATGGTTCTTGTTGTTCAAGTAGTTTAAATATAAAAAATTTATTTTTTTTATTTATATAAGGATTTACAATGCGTGCAGGCAGCTCGCTGAAAGACGAAGCGAGGGAGAGAGAGATGTGTTTTTATAACATAAAAGCGATAGTGCAATTCCATAACAAAACTTATGTTTTCGTTCACTGATTCCCCGCCACAAGGCCATAGTCTTGCTATTCAAACATGATCTAACTTTTTATGGCTTTTATTATAATTACTCACCCTCTACAGTTCCTAAAACTTAATATACAGTCACACAATAACATCTTACCTTTTCTTTTTCAAGTGTAACTCCTGATATAAAATGTTTCATGCATAAGTACGCAGTTTCCTGGAGTTCCGATTTATCATTTTCCATGACTTTAAAGATTATATTTATAATTTTTTCTTTGTATCCGATATCACTAATGTAGTGACATGCAGCTAGCGCTCGCAACGCACTGGTCCTAAGTGGTATAAGATTAGGAACGTTTTTGTAACAGTCCAATTTCGCCAACGTGGCATCTTCGGCCTCACTTAATGTAAGCAACTCGTGAAAAAATAGTTTATGATAGGTGTTCGTCAAATCTAGAAGTTTAAGAATAGATAAATAGTCACACGTTAGAAAACATTTTTTGACAAGAATGAAAGTAAAATAACATAGCAAAATTAATTTATTTAGTTCTTATAGTTCAATAAATTATTCATGCGTATTCCGCAAAACACTACTGTTTAGATCGTCAGTTTACACAATGCACAGTGGTTCCGTCAGAGGCTAAAAATCAAAAAAACCTATTTGAAAATATTTAAATTAAATTTACACAGTTTGTCTCTAAAATGTCCAATCTTCCAACTTGCAAACCGGTTTTCGCTGAAAACCCAACGGTACATTCTAAAAATAGAATTAAAAGCATGAACACGTGTTCATTTCAACAGCGCATCGGAGCTGTGGTGAAATATTTCAAAGCAAAAGCGCACTTCAAATCGGACTGGTAACTGTTCAAGTTGATAAATTTATATTATTCAAAATGGATTTTGAAGCTCAAGGTATTTATTTTACTTTATGAAATTAATTAATACTAACTTGATATGAAATTAATAAAATCTAACTTGATATGTGAAACCTCTTTGTTTGTACCTGTTTTGTGTGTCTCAAATTTGTTTACCTAAAGTTTTAGTTGTGATCCCACACGATTCCAAACAAGGATTTTTTGTTATATTTAGGTGCGGAATGTTGCGAATGTAGTTGTAATCGTTAATATGCTAACACGACTTCTTATTTTTTCAAGGTCAAATTTTGCCAGCGCGCTGCAGCGGAGCCCCTGTGTCGTCTTTTGTGTCTCTGTTTTTGTTGTGTCTTTGTGTTCGTCTTTTGTGATTGTTTACAGCTTCTATTTGTCAGTTTATTTCTTTTACTTAAAATTATTCTAATTATTTTTCCGTTTTTCTTTTATAATTTTTACAAAATAAATTTGGACAAATTTAATGAATACGCCATCGATACTGCTAAGGAATTGATAAAAGAGTATCCATGGTACTGTTTGACAGCTACAGTCCATAAGGTGTAAGTTCATGGATCTTCTGTAATTGAGCATGCACTCGTGTCAATCGGAGAGCTTTCGGAAGAAGCTGCCGAGTCGAATAATAAGGAATTAAAAAAATGTACATTGTATCACAGCCGAAAAATGTCACGGATTGCAATAAACACAGACATATTGAACACACTCATTTTACGGTCGGACCCATTTATAACTGGGCAAAGAAAACATGGAAAGAAGGATAAATCAACGTTACTTGAATCTGTGTTCAACTTACTTGAAGAAACATTATAAATCTTTGTTATAATTATATTAATTCGTTAATAGCTTTGAAAATATCAATATAATAAATTGGCTTACAATATGATTGTTTAATTTATGATTTTTTGATATGATATTATTTTAGTAGGTAAATTTATGAAATACAAACAAAATAGTTGATTTTTCCTATGGCAGCAAATGTGAAACTACACCAACCTTATAGTCTGGGAGTTTAGATAACATACTAATTTTCTATTTAAGGGGGTCTTCTCATTCAAAACCCGTTTTATGGACCCTTTTTAAAAAAATTCTTATTTGAAAACGCAAAAAATAATTGAAAACTTTTTTTATTTATTGGTTCATTTTAAGGTTCAAAGTAAATAAAAAAAAAATTGTGGCCGCAGCTCCATACAAGCCGACCACTGTGCAATGGTCCGATAAGTACTTAGCCTCACCGCCCGATGGCGTCACTATCGCAAGAAAAATTTACTATCGTGTAGTACATTTTCGTAGACGGCTACTGTCGAAATTTCAGCCGAATCCGACTCGTAGTTTGGTTTTGACTGCGTGTGGAATCGGACGTGTCCGCGGATTTTAGAAACATGGAGAAAGAGCAATATCGGTCTGTGATTCGATTCTTGTTTTTGGAAGGGAAATCGCACAGCAAAATCAAAGAGCGCTTGGATGCTGTGTACGGTGACTCTACTCCTTCGATGGCGACCAACAAAAAATGGTTAAACGACTTTCAACGTGGTCGCACGTCGGTTTTTGATGAGCCACGCCCAGGTGCCCCGAAAACGGCTACCACGGAGGATAACGTGACAAAAATCCACGATCTCGTATTGGCAGACCGCCGATTAAAAAACGCGAGATAGCTGAGACAGAAAGCATATCAAAAGACCGCGTAACTCATATCCTGCATGAAATTTTGGGCATGAGAAAGCTGTCGGCGCGATGGGTCCCGCGTTTGCTCACTCCGGACAACAAACGCAACCGTGAGACCACTTCAGAGCAGTGTTTGACGCTGTTTAAGCGCAATCCGAAGGAGTTTCTGCGTCGTTTCGTGACCGTCGATGAAACATGGATCCACTGGTACACACCAGAGACCAAGGAACAGTCGAAACAGTGGACTTCACCCGGCGAACCTGCTCCGAAGAAGGCGAAGACTGTCCCATCGGCCGGAAAGGTGATGGCCACCGTTTTTTGGGATTCACAAGGTGTGATCTACATCGACTACCTGGAGAAGGGCAAAACGGTAACAGGGCTGTACTATGCCGTATTATTGGGCCGATTCACCACCGCATTGCAGAAAATACGGCCCCATTTGGCGAAGAATAAAGTGCTCTTCCATCATGACAACGCACCGGTTCACACTCGGCCCTCGCGGAGCCCAAATTGGTCGAATTGGGCTACGAACTGCTACCCCATCCGCCATATTCTCCAGATTTGGCCCCGTGTGACTTCTTTTTGTTTCCAAACTTGAAAAAGTCATTCGCTGGACAGAAATTTGCGTCGAATAAGGAGGTCGTCGCCGCGACAGAGGCCTTTTTTCCAGACCTTGAGAAATCTTTTTTTTCAGACGGGTTAAACATGTTGGAGCATCGCTGGGTCAAGTGTATCGATCTAAAAGAAGATTGTGTTAAGAAATAAATCGCCACTTTTCCAAAAATTTTCGTTTTTCTTTTGGATGCTAAGTACTTATCGGACCACCCTCGTATGTTATATGTCGTCTTATCATTATAATTAATTTTACAGCGTTGGCGGTAAATGCTTTAATTCAGAGCTCGTAAAATACCATCAACCGATTTTTTGTAATCGGGCTGCTGCTTAGTCAAAAGACCTTAACAATTTAATCTGAGCCATATCCCCTTTTTTCGATCGAGCTTAAGGTCTCAAGGCTTACGAATGGGTCCCTTACTGACCTCTTGGTACGATCGAAAGAATTCGTTTTATATTGAGAGTCAGGGTACTTTTTTAACAGGACAGCTTTAAAGAAAGAAAAAGAGAGAGAATATAAACAAGATAAACATGTAAGGCCAAACTATACGACATTTATTTATTTATTTTATTTATTAAAGATGTTAGAAAAGTTTACAAAACTAAAACTAACATAGGGGGTTGTAGTACTAGCTGCGGGGCCTTCGACTACGTAATTTTTAGTAAGTGAACTTAATTTAAGAATATTTTAAATTTTGGTTTTAGATTAATTTGTATAAGTTGGTTTATTTTAGAAAATTTATGATAGTAGTTATATTTTCTGCTGTAGGGTGCATGAGGTAGTCGGTGGCTTTGAGATTTTTAAAAAGTAGTTGCTTGTCCTGGGTTATTGCTGGGCATGAATCTAAAATGTGTTCCATGTTAACTGGAGTGAATGTCCAAGGCGGAGTCTTATAAATTTGATTTGGTCAACTCTGGTAATTTCTTTTTGAATTATGTTAGAGAGTGTTGATATGTGGGTGTTGTTTGTGTTAATGTTTTTGTACCATGTGTTGCATTTGTTTATTAGGGTTTCTTTTTCTTGCGTTAGGTGATTTTTTAGAAGTTTGTTTATGTCTTTTATATTTTCGTTTTTCATATATAGAAGTGGCATTTCGTTGCTTCTTTGGCCGTTCTGTCTGCGAGTTCGTTTCCTTTGATGTTGGAGTATCCTGGGGTCCATAAAAGTTTTATTTTGGGTTGTTTTGATTGTATTTGTGATCTGATGTGTGCTGTTTAGTATGTTTTTTGGGGCGTACCCATATGTATGAAGTGCATAGTCAATTTTAGATATAAGTATGGCTTTTGTGATGTTTAGTAGAGTGTTTGTGTTGCAGTTAAACTTGGGGCTGGCCAAGCATTTTATGATGTTAAGTTTGTTGGAGAGTGATGGTATGAGAGTGTCAATGTGTGAGTTCCAGTTGTATTTCTTGTTTATGGTTAGTCCGAGTATTTTAAGTGATGCTACGTTTTTTATGCTAGAATTCTGTGTTGTAATTACGCAGTTGCATCTGTGTTTTCTACATATGTGTAGATGTTCACATTTAGTTTGTGACAGGGATGCGCCTGAGTAACTTCCCCAGTCTTCTATTTTCCTAAAGAGGTGGTTTAGGTTGATGGTAATGTTTTTCTTATTTTTTAGATTTACCAGCAAAAGGAAATCGTCTGCATATACGCTGAATTTGATCTGTTTATATCTTGTCAGGATGTTGGCTAGTTTATTGAATGCTATTAGAAAGAGTACCACTGATATGGGGGATCCTTGCGGGATTCCGTTTTCCAAAGGGTGTATGTTTGAGTAGTGTGTCCCTATTCGGACTGTTATCTTTCTGCTTTTGGTGAAGTTTATAATGTTATTTATTATTTTGTGGCCGCATTTCCATTTTATCAGTTGGTCAATTATTGAGTGAGTACCTACTCGATCGAAAGCTCTTGCGAAGTCAAGAGAGATGAGTGAGGTATGTTTCCTAGTATTGAGCGACTTCGTGATGATGTGATCTGCATAGAGCAGATTATCTGAAGTCGATTTACCTTTCTTGAAACTAAATTGGTGTGGGTGTAGAAGTTTGTCGTTGTTAAGGAACCACCACAGTCTGTTCGCTTTTATTTTGTCCATTGTTTTACTCAGGCAGCAGTTAAGTGAGATGGGTCGGTATGACGAGATGTCGGTTTTGTCCTTTTGAGGTTTCAGGATTGGTATGATCAGACTGGTTTTGTATGATTGAGATATGTAGTGGTTGAAGATGTGGTTGAAGTGAGAAAGTATTCTATTTTTTATTGATGGTGAACTGTTTTTTATCATGGGGTATGAGA